CTCCCTAACCTCACTCCCTTATGTCTAAGGATATCTGCTTCCTCCCTAACCTCACTCCCTTATGTCTAAGGATATCTGCTTCCTCCCCAACCTCACTCCCTTAAGCTGATCTTCACCTAAGGCCCCACAGGCTCCCAAAACAGCATGAGAGATTATGCATGCAGGTGCACACACGCCTCACACACCAAACCCAACCTCAGGAACTAACACAAAGTCACTGCCACATTCTCATTGGCCTTAAAGGGCTCACCCACCTTATCCCGTGCCTGGCCAGCTACCTTTGGAACCAGAAGAGCCCAGGCGGTTTGGAGGGAAGGGACCATCTGCAAAGTGTCCAGTGCCCTGGCCACAGACTCTCCCAGCCACCTGCTTCTCTCCTGAGCCAAGCAGCAGCTGGGCTGGCTGGCAGGTGGGCAGGGAGGGGTGGGCGACCATGGTCCCAGGGGACTTTGCTCCATTCAGCAGGAGGAGTGTCTGGGCAGGAGATGCAGCCACAGTCCTGGGCCAGGAGAGGCTTTGTGATGGAGATCCTGGGTCTTTCAACAGGAGGACGGTGATGGCTGAATGAGAGCTCCTGGGGAGGACCCATTTGCCTCCCTGCACATCGATGGCATTCGAGACCTACCCCTGTGCCCCCCCAACCCCAAAAAGAAGCCTTTGCAACTGAAAAATACAAATACTAAACCTCACCCTAGCCATGGTCTAGGGACTGTACTAAGCACTTGTATTAACTCATTTAATGGTCACATAAGAGAAGTGAGGCACAGAGATGTTAGGCAACTTGCCTGAGGGCACACAGCTAGCAGGGGGCAGAGCTGGGATCCCAAATCAGGTAGCAGTTTGGCTTCTAACCAGTGTTGATGCTGTCACTCGGGGTGGGCTTGTGATTTCCATGTCACATGCTGTGAGTGCCACTCACGTCATTTACAGTTACAGCAGGGGCCAGAGCTGTAGCGTAGTAAGTTAAGCTTCTGCCTGTGGCACTGGCATCCCAAATGGGTGCCGGTTCAGGTCCCGGCTGCTCCACTTCTGATCCATCTCTTTGCTATGGCTTGGGAAAGCAGAAGATGGCCCAAGTCCTTGGGCCCCTGCACCTGTGTGGGAGTGAAGAAATGGATACATCATGGTACTGGGAAAGACTAACATTCCCTGGGTGAGATTTCTGCCTAAGATTCGGGTCATGGATCTCATCGTGGGGAACTTCAGATAAACCACACATCATTGTGGGGCAGCCTCTGCAAGGCTGACTGTAATCTTCCCAAACATCAAGGTCAAGAGAAACAGTTTCGGTCAACATGAGTCACAGGAGCAGCCTAGATGCAAGGGAGAAAACAGAACTGCAAAGCATTTGTACAGTTTTCCCCCTACTCTATTTAAACCTGTGCTATTTCTTTTCGCTCTACTCCCTAGTTCTACAAGAGCCCAAATTCCAGTACTTTCTTCCTAAGGGTCCATAGAAGGGAATGTTTGGAGCCCTTTAATATCGAGAGCAGTCATATGATTTGGCTTGGGGGTTGCCACACTAGAAAGACTGACAGTTGTAATTCAGGGTGGGGGGCTTCAGGTCACGTCTGGAGGGGAGGAGGAGTGGAGACTGAAACCAACCACACGGACCAATTATGTCTACATAAAAGAGCCCCAGTTAAAAACTCGGTGCGCCAAGGCTCATGGGAGATTCCCCACGGAGCAACACTTCATGCATCTGGTAGCAAATCCGTGCTGGGAGTCCAGTGTCCTGACCATTGGGGTGTTGTAGGCTAGGCTGGGCCTACATTCCTGTTTCAGGCTCTTGCCTCTGAAATACGCACACGTGTGGTACATCTGGGGAAGGGGTCATTTGACTGACAGGTGGGTGGATAGGATTACATGGGGGCGGGGGAGGTGTGGCTTCCTGCCTTATCCCATATCAGGGGCAGGACTCAGAACAGAAATGATGTCTTGTGTTTTTCCGGGACTCTACCTAATGTACCTTCCCTGATGCCATTGATCTGTCACTGTTCCCTGCGATGAACCGTAACTATGTGCATGATACCTTTCGGTGAGTTTTCTGATTCCTTCTAGCAAATTGGCAATCCCGAGAGTGGTTTGGAGAACCCCAGGGACTTGGCGTTGAGGGAAGTATTTTGTGGTCTCTGTCCACTAACTTGATCATTGGCTAAATTCTTAAATTTCTCCAACATTGTTCTTGATCTCTGACTATTCTTTACCCTTAAGGCACTATTCTTACAATAGACACAGGTAAAATAGGTGCAGAATCCTGTAACTTCAAGGGCATACCAGGCTTTTAAATTTTTTGTTCCTCTTTCCTTTTCTCTTTAATTTTCTGTTTGTTTACTTCGTTGGTTCCTCTTCCACTGTGGGCACTTTCCTGAAATGTCTGGTGACTCATCACCTTCCATTCACATTTATGAGGCCTGAGATGGTGGCTGGGCTTTCGTGAGGGCGGCCAGATTGTTAGCTAGCCTTGCCAGTGACACATCTCCAAAGCTGGAGACATTTTCTCTGTGGGTTTGATACACATCAAATCTCTCACGAATGACCTGATTTCTTGTGCTGGAGGTTAACACAGACCTGGCTCAGAGAATTCTGAAAACAGAATTTTGGCTGGGTCAGATAAAAATCCCTTTCTCCCCCTTTCTTTGATCATTGATCTGCATTGAGCTTAATGTGTGGGTGGCAAGTGGGGACAGGAGACACCTGGCCACTGGGAGGCAGGAAGAACCTGCTATCCTTTGATGATAGCACCTGGTTTATCTCTTACATAAGTGGCACGTGTTGCTCTCTAAGTGGCTTCTGCCCGAGTCTTGTCTCTTCATTGACTGTGAGTCAGTCATTCAACCAACAAATATGGTGTTTAATGAGATGGGGTGCTTCCAGTTACCACATATCAGGTCAACTACTGGGAAGGACCAAAACAAAAAGGAAAAAAAAGGCAACATCTCTGCCCCGAAAGGGGACGAAGAAGGTCCTACAGAAACAGTAGTTTTCCTGAAAGTAGCTACTCATACCAGATGAGTGTTCCGTCTTCTACAGGTGGGACACGGCATTGCAACTGAAGGAGTCAGAAAACACAGTGCTTCTGGCACAATATCGAGGGAGGGGCCCCGGCAGAAGCCAAGACCTGGGTTAACCCCTGAAGGAAGAGTAGGGTTTCCGTGGGCAGAGCTGGGCCTGGACAGGGACGTGAGGGGTGGCGGGAGGAGGCCCACCGTCTCTCTGTGCATTTCCACCCAATCTGTGATCTACTTTTGCTGCCATGGTGCACAGGTGGGAGCTTATGTTAGCAGGACTGGAACAAGTTCTGGGAGATGCTTCCTGGGATGATGCTACGAATAATTCCACAGAACTGGCCCACCAGGGAAGGTGTTGCCTTGATTATGACAAAGCAGGTGGGACCGCAGGAGACCAGGCCTGGAACCACTGAAGCAATGAGCTTATCACGCTGTTGATCTGGAAACTGGGAAGCTGCCAGCCCCCCCGCCCCCCACTGCAACCTGCTCTCTCTCACTACCCACAAAGCTGTGGCCCCCAGAATCCCAATACCGCTTGCTGGTAGCAGTAGCAGAAGCTGCTAGATGATGGCTATGGTGCCCTGTGGTCTCTCAAACTGTGCTCAGTTGATTGGATCTATTTTGCATTTCGAGCTCTGGCAGCTGGGGCTTTTGGATCTGTGGTATTAGAAGCTTCCATGGGACACCTGGTCCCCTCTTCCTGCTTCTTTCACTCAGTTTAAAAAATGGCCTGCTTGGTCTTGGGCCTCAGGGAGTCCACTAACAACTTGTTTCCATGTCTACTCTTGCTTCTAAAGGTAAATCCTGACAATAACTGGCACAGTGATGGCCAGCTGATCTGGGCCAATCCTTAAGCAGAGTGTCAAGGCCCTCATCCTACCCCTTCAGGTGCCTTTGGGACTCTGAGCATCTTGAACAACTGAGTCTTTTGTTGTTCAAGGAGAATAAAAAGTCCCATCTGGAAGTTTTGCTCAGGCTCAGGGGGATGGTGCTTCCAGGCATTGGCCCAGCTCTATTGGCTGCTGTGTTTGTCTATTTTTTGTAGCTTGGATGAAATACCCGAGGCTGGATAAAAGAAACAAAGTTTATCTGGCTCACAGGCCCATAGGCCCAAGAGCAGGGCCCCAGCATCTGCTCTGTGAGAGCCTCCTGGCTACAATGTGGCAGATGGTATCATGGCAGGAGGGTCTGAGACCGATCACCTAGCCAGGTAGGAAGGCAGAGAGATTCAGAGACCAGGGTTGTTTATTTATTTTCAATAATAACTCCCTCTTGTCAGAATTAATTGGAGTTCTGTAAGAGCTGCATTAATTCCTTCCAAGAGCAGTGCCTTAAGGACGTAATTACCTCTCACCAGCCCCGCCTCTTACAGGATCCACCACCTCAGCATCTCCGCATTAAAGACGAAGCTTCCAGCACAGGAGCCTTTGGGGGGATGCACACAAAACAGCAGGTGCCAACCCTGGGCATAGCACGGTGGGCAGGACGCAGCCGTGGGGTCTTTGTTCACTACATCCAGGGTTCCCGCAACAAACCATGCTGTTTCTCCTGCTTGGAACAGCAGCCCCTCTCCTGTGCACCTGATCACTCAGCTCAAATCCCCTAGAGACGCGAGGTATCCTATCGAGAGGGCGAGCCGTGGCCAAGCAAACAGGAGCTGGGGTTTGCTCCATCCAGTGACCCCTTGCACGGTGATTCCTTCCTTTGCCCGCCTTGGACAGTTAGAACTTGATACTGCCAGGGGCAATGATAGATTCTCATGGAGGGGGATTTTCTGTCCTGAGATGGTCTCAAGTTGGCTCAGCCACTGAGGAAGGACAAGGGGAGGGGTGCCAGGGGGGTTCGGGCTGAGCCTTCGGCATGAATCTAAGCTGAGGCAGAGACAGGCACGGGGCTTGAGTGTGGCAGGCAGGTGAGCAGGGGAGCCAGGGCCTGCCAGGGCTGCTGCCTTTTTTTTTTTTTTTTAAAGGATTGCAAGTATTCTAATCCTTCTTTTTTTTTTTTTAAAGATTTATTTATTTATTTGAAAGTCAGAGTTACACAGAGAGAAAGAAGGAGAGGCAGAAAGAGAGAAAGAGAGGTAGAGACAGAGAAGTCCTCCATCCGCTGGTTCACTCTCCAATTGGCTGCAATGGCCAGAGCTGTGCCAATCTGAAGCCAGGAGCCAGGGGCTTCTTCTGGGTCTCCCACATGGGTGCAGGGGCCCAAGAACTTGAGCCATCTTCTTCTGCTTTCCCAGGTCATAGCAGAGAGCCGGATTGGAAGTGGAGCAGCCAGGACTCGAACTGGCGCCCATCTGGGATGTCGGCATTGCAGGCGGCGGCTTTACCCGCTGTGCCGGCCCTGTGCGAGGGCTTTTAGTGGCCTGCCACCTCCAAGGTCATCTCTGAGGTGATCTCGCCTATGCCTCTTATTTGGCAGACGGGGAACCCGAGGCCCAGAGAGGCTGTACTTCATTTCTGATGTCATCCAGAGCTTCCGACTCGTCCTATTCCCCTCCCGCTCTGTGCAAGGACTGAATGCATCTTGTTTCTTGCTGATGACGTTGTAGGGGAGATGGACTTGTGCTTCTTGAAGTCGGTTCCTAGAGGCAGGTGCTGTGACTGGGGGCGTTGTGCACCCTGAAGAACTGAGGTTGTGCAAGCTCCTCCCAGCCACTCCTGACCACCCTGGCCCTTTGGTGTCCTGATGGCCGGGGAGTGCTGATGGCAGGTGAAGAAGTGAGAACCCGCCTGACACCATGCAGTGGAAGCAGCAGCAGGACTTCAGACAGCACAGTCTCTCAACCGTGGCCTCCTGCCCTGGTCACGCAGACCTTGAACTTCAACTTCCCAAAAGAAAGTCCCGATTTTCTCTGGAAACCCTAGGCTATGGGCCTTTATCTCTGTGTGCTGGTGGGGCCTGTGAGCTTACCTCAGAGTGAAGGAATTTAGGGGCCTCTGGGCCAGCAGCCTTGCAGTGGTGTGGCTTCAGGCAGTCTTCCCAGGGCCCCTGCCACAACCTCTCCCCTGGAGCTGGGAAGGAATTGTGGCCACCTGGGCTCTGGTTTGCCACATTTCATAATGGGCTTTTGCTTTGCATAGAGCAAACTGTATGTAGTTTCTCAATCAGGGGGAGAAATTCTGGCATCGCTCCTTTGCAAGCAAAACATGGTTGGGCAACTCCTGTGTTGCAACACCCTACAGCTTCTAAAACAAACCCGAGGCTTTTGGCTTCTGTCCTGAAAACAGTCCTTCTCACTATAGCCACCGCAGAGCATACTGCCTTGGAACGCTGGGATGTCAGCGTGGAGGAGACAGACCGTGCCATGCTGGCGCTGAGGCCACAGCAGCTCATGCTCCCTGAGCCCCAGTTTGCGCACCTTGAAAATGGCACTCAGTGCACACACACAGCTTGATGGAGGCTAGAGAGCCAAAGGAGATCATCTGTGCGAAGCCCCTACCTCAATGCCTGCTCCCTTTCCAAGCTCCCACAATGACCACTGAGATCCAAGGTCCCCACCCCGGGGACCCTGGGGACGTCGGGAAGAGTCACTTAGAAGAGCTTTCACAGGAGCCCAAAAGAATGAGCCTATGCCCCCTGCAGGGAGGGGGCAGGGTGAGGTGCTGTGTGGGGAGGTGTCACTCACACAGGGGGTGGGCACTGTGAAGCAGCTGAGATTAACCCACGGCCGAGGCTGCTTCCCCACGCTCCTGTGAGCAGGTGTCTGCTCGGGCAGTCAGGAGCCCAGGAGCTGCAGCTGAGCCCTGTGTCTGCCAGGGACTCAGCAGGCAAAAGAAGTATCCCAGGTGTTTCTACAGCTGGGCTGGCTGAGGTGTGAGCAGGTTAGGGGAGTGACGGGGTGTAGGGGCAGCCAGAGACAGCCACAGGGGGGCGCCTGCAGAGGACAAGGAGAATGAGGGCCCTGTCCCAAGCATGCGAGGATTGGGAACAATGGGGAGGGGGTGTCTGCGGCAGCTTTCTGTGGGAAGGAAACACCCTCCTTGTCTCCTCTCAATGCCCCATCTCCAAGGCCAAGAAGGAGCCCGAGCAGGGCAGAGAGCAGAGGTCAGTGTGTACATGTTTGCACGCGCCTGCACGTGTGTGCGTGATGGGAAATACCATTCTCTCTCACCCGCAGAAGCTGCAGACAACCCGTGCCCTGCACACCTCTCAGGGGGCCCTGGCCAAGCCATTTCCACCAGGAGCTGGGGCGAGGAGGCCAAGGGCAGAGTATATCTGCCCTTGCCGGTATTGGCTGAGAAGTTGGTGAAATGTTGAATCCAACCACACAACCTCATGTCCATTTGCATTCTTTACAGATAACACTTTAAAGGATCAGCTGGGTCCACTCGATGCTTGGGGAGTGTAAGGCATGTTAGCTTGCGGCTTCATGTCGTGTCCCGAGGCCTTCTGCAGAGGTCAGAGTTCAACCCAGCAGGGACCACCACTCTACAAATCTGCTAGAGCCAGCTGGGAGCTGGGGGTCTACCTCCCCCTCCCATAACCCTTGGGCTCTAAGAGGTGTGAATATGGCATAGAGAAGACTGGATGAACCATATCGAGAGAAAAAGGTCTCATCAGAGAAACAGCCACGCCTCTTGGTGGCCAGGCAGCCCTGTCCTTATGAGGGTCTCTGGTCCCCAGCCCTGGCTCCCTGCCACCTCCCCTTCCCACGCTGTTTGGCTTCGGGTTAACTTATGCGTTAGCTGGAGATCAGGCATTCAGCACTCACTGAACCTCCAAGGTGCTAGCCTGGGTCACGCTGTGCGGCTTGCAGTTCTCAGGGCTGGGGAACTGCTCCTAAAGGTAGGAGGGCAGGCAAAGGCTCTCGGGGGCTACAGAGGTCAAGTTCAAGTACCAGCCAAGGCACAACGCTGCTGTGGGAGTGCACTAGCTAGATGAATGCCATGAGATCTGAAGCTGGGGGACAGCCCAGGCTTCGGAGAGAAGCTGGAGGTGAGGCTACTTCGCTCTAACGGAGATGCCTAACCAGACAAAATCTTTGGCCAACCCAGAAAGTCTCTCGACAAAGAAAGAAAACGATCGTATCATTACAGCAACCTTAAAGCAGGATGGCAGGTGCCTCACAGAGATGGCAGAGGCAGGAGGGAATAGCACCCTTTCCTATAGCCAGGCAGGCGCTACCATTCCAGATGTGTCCTCGGGATGTCAGTAATCAGTCCTCCGGGAAGAGGACTGGGCAGCACCATGTGTTACACTGGGTTCATCCGAAATTCACCCGGTAATTGGGGTCCCCAGCAGTATCTTGAAGACAGGAGGTCATTCAATTTGGAACCAGGTACCTGCCAAAGTTAGGCTCCTGCTCTGCCCCAGAAATTGGAATACAGAGGCACTCTCTTCCAGGATGTTTGCATGTCAAAAAGAGATGGCTGCTAGCTCCCCAGGAAAGAAAAGCTGTGTCATAAAGCCGCCAGCAGCTTATCTGGGTTCTAAAAGAAATTTAGAGGGGCCGGCGCTGTGGCGTAGTGGGTAAAGCCACTGTCTGCAGTGACAGTATCCCACATGGGCGCCAGTTCGAGTTCTGGCTGCTCCACTTTCTATCCAGCTTTCTGCTGTGGCCTGGGAAAGCAGCAGAACAAGGCCCAAGTTCTTGGGCCTTTGTACCTGTGGGGGACCCGGAAGAAGCTCCTGGCTCCTGGCTTCAGATTGGCACAGCTCTGTTCATTGTGACCAGCTGGGGAGTGAACCAGCGGATGGAAGACCTCTCTCTCCCCCCACCCCCGCCTCTCTGTAACTCTGCCTTTCAAATAAATAAATAGGGGGCCGATGCCGTGGCTCATTTGGTTAACCCCCTGCCCGCGGCACTGGCATCCTATATAGGCGCCGGATTCTGTCCCGGTTGCTCCTCTTCCAGGCCAGCTCTCTGCTGTGGCCAGGGAGTGCAGTGGAGGATGGCCCAAGTGCTTGGGCCCTGCACCCCATGGGAGACCAGGAGAAGCACCTGGTTCCTGGCTTCGGATCAGCGTGGTACGCCGGCCGCAGTGCGCCGGCTGCAGCTGCCACTGGTGGGGTGAACCAACGGAAAAGGAAGACCTTTCTCTCTGTCTCTCTCTCTCACTGTCCACTCTGCCCGTCAAAAACAAAAACAAAACAAAACAAACAAAAACAAACAAAAACAAACAAACAAACAAAAACTGGAAGGGGAAAAAAGTCTCTTCTCTCATTTCAACACAGGAAATCCAACCTCTTATGTTCATCTGCCAGCATTGTCCTGCTGGCAAGGCTCTCCTCTTGCCCAGTGATTTAGACTAGAGTGAGGATGGCTAGCCAGAGGAAGGCAGGACTGTGCCAAGGGATGGCAGAACTGGACTCAGACTGTCAAGGGCCTCTTGGTGGCTACTGAAGTGGCTGAGGTTTGGGAGATGTGAGGCTAAGACACACTAAACTGGTAGCCACATTGTGTTGCTGAAAACCCACCATTAACCGGTCTAGTCAGAGCGCGGATGCAGGGACTGCTTTCCATTTTAAACTTGCACATCGTGGGTCAAGACCTCAGCAAGGGGGTGTTGCACAAAACTGAAGTTCAACGTAGGTGCTCCATCTGGGAACACAGGTGCCACAGTCCAGTGGGAGCCCAGGAACCTGAACCCCACCAGCCTGAGCCCACCACTCACGGACACCGTGAGCACTGAGCCTGGCTCCGTCCTCCTCTCCAGCTCTGTGGTTTCTGCAAGCTTCCGGAGGTTTCAGGCTCTCAGTCTGCAGACGGCTCCGTGGCCTGGCTGGAGTCTGGAAGGAGCAAGGCGAGGGCTTGCTCTCAGCTGCTCATCCTCGCCTGCCGGGAGAGGGAGAGAGAAAGGGAGAGGGAGGGGGAGGGGGAGGGGGAGGGGCGGGGGAGACGGAGGGGGACGCCTATCAGCTGGGTCACTACCCCGGCTGAGAAAGGGGCGTCTCCGGAGTCAGGAGCAGGGGTTACCACTCACCCTGTGGGTGACCTCGAACAAGCCGCCCTCTCTCCCTCTGCCAAGGGGCGCGATTCCTCACCCCAAGGAATATGGCCTTTAAAACCGCAGCTTCCACCAGCCATCGCCAATAGCCTGGTGCTGTTCGTGCTTGAGAGTCTGTGAGCCTTCAGCCATCCTCTTTCTGGGAAGTCTGGTACCAGTTCTCGAAAGCATCTGGCTCCCTTGTCCCACTGCTGGGCTCCAAGGCTGGATCTTCCTTTTAAAGATGGCCGCAGGAGGGTCCAAAGCACATTCCACCAGCCTGGTAGGGGAGAGGATGGGGGTGGGGGGGTGCCTCCGTCTGCGCATGCTCAGACCTGTCTTCTGCAGGGTGATGTCATCGACACTCCGTCCAGGCTGAAGGAACCCTGGGACTGCTCTGCCCGCTGGGGGCCCCTTGTGGGCTCAGCACCGGGGGCTCCTCTCCTGCCCGTGTTTCTCTGGAGTCTCCTTTTCATGTTTCACATGGCCAGCTCACCTGTCACGCAGAAGTAAAATACATAGGCAGAGGCGCTTGGTCCTGTTTCCAGGGGTGTGATGGCTTTCCCAGGGGAACTCTAGACACATGGGGGAGGGGTGGGTGGGCTGGGCTGCTTGTTTTGTTTTGGTTTCATGCTTGGCACCGTGCCAAATCGACACTCCAAACATGCTTGTTGAGGTGTCAGTTGCCCTGGTTTTCAAAGATCTGATGTTGTAGGGATCCAATAAGTGGATTCTCAATAATAAAAAACGATTAGGAACTTACTGTGAGTACTCACTCAGGTAGCCTGGCACCAAAACTAAGAGGATAATGTGGGAATTCTCTCCTGTACTCCTCGCAGTAATGTGTAATGTAGGTGCCATCATCTCTCAGTCTACCAATGAGAAAACAGTGGCTCATAGCAGCTCAATCAAGATGCCCAGATCATACAGTTGTAGGTAGTGGGGCTGGTTCAAGCCCACACTAAGTTCTTTCCCCCAATTCTTTTTTTCCCTAAAGTAATAAATAGTTTCTTACAAAACGCAAATGCTGGGGCAGGCATTTCATCTCATGGTTACACAACTGCATCCCACATCACACCGTGTGGCCTCTGGTCCCTGCTGAGCCCCTGCCCCCAGCTTCCTGCTAATGCACATCCCAGAAGGTAGCGTTGATAATTCAAGTGGTTGGGTCCCTGCAACCCATGCGGGAGACCTGGATTGAATTCCCAGCTTCTGGCTTTGACTTGGCTGTGGCCCGGGAGGCCAGTGGAGGATAGCCCAAGTGCTTGGGCCCTGCACCCGCGTGGGAGACCGGGAAGAAGCACCTGGCTCCTGGCTTCAGATTGGCGCAGCTCTGGCCTTGCAGCCATTTGGGGAGTGAACCAACGGAAGGAAGACCTTTCTCTCTGTCTCACTGTCTCACTATCTATACCCCTACCTGTCAAAAAAAAAAAAAAAAAAAAGATTGATGTCCTGGATGGGTGCTACACATTGTGTATCAGAGTATCAGATTGCTATTTTTATATATTCGGTTTTGTGGATTGCAACATTTTTTTTGCACCAAAATAAACACATTTAAAAATTATTTGAGGAAGAGAGAGAGAGAAGAATAAGCACTCCCATATGCTGGTTCACTTCCCAAATGCCAGCAATGGCCAGAGCTGTGCTTGGGCTACAGCAAAGGCTCCCGTGTGTGTAGTAGAAACCGAATCATGTGAGCCATCACCGTTGCCTCTCAGGGTTGGCACTGGTGGGAAGTTGGAGTTGATAGCAGGAGCCAGATGCACACATCTTAACTGCCTAGCTATGCCAAATGCCCCTTCCAGAAACTTATCTCTTAATTCCATTTTCCATGTACTTTTTGAAGTCCTCGAGTATGTCTGGCCATTGGCTGGGTATTCCGTCTCTCATCCCCTTCCGCCTCTAGGGGGAATGGGCTTGTTGCCCGAGATTAGCCTGGGGCTGGGAAGGGAGAACAAGGGTGGAGCCCAGCTTCTTGTTGAAGAAAAACAGTGTGTGTTTCAATGGGAGTCTATGCATCATCCATAGTGTACCTTCCAAGTTGAGTTATCAGAGTCTAGGTGTGCTTTCAAAGCTATTCTGTAACTCTGAGTAAACTGTGATATGCAAGTATGTTCTGTCTGGTAATGATTTAACTGGCTTCCCTCCACCTCCTTGGAAAAACCAGTTTTGTGTCCATTTGCAACTCATCCCACATGGTTTTTCTCACATGGATTTTTTTAAATGTTTTCGTTGATCCACTTATAACATCTGCTTGCGTGCCTCATGTCATGTGAGTAAACTCTACATGTTTATTTTTACATTTGTAGAAGAATTGTGATTTCACCTTTTTTCCAAAACTGTCTTCTAACATCGGGTGCATTTATTTGCTTTGGGTGGAGGGGTGGTGTTGCAAAAACAGATGTCCTTAGGTGGCCCTGAGCACTCTCTACACAGCAGGCTGGGCTCCGAGCACTGTGGGGCTTGGGGGCTGGGCTTGCCTGCACGGGGCTTTTGGTGTGACTTCTGGCAGAGAGCCAGGACCATATGGTGAGTGAGGCCCAGCCTATGGGTTTTGTTTGATCCAGGCGATGGAGGGGTTCTGCTGAGATTGGACTGTAGGCTGCGGCTGAATTTCTCACCTTGCTCTAAGGTGTATTTCTGATAGGGAAGTCTGCGAAGAGGGCTGGGAAGCTCGGAGCCAGATTTAAATTGATGTGGGAAAACGAAGAAGGCCAAGTGTCTTGCATCTAAGACGTACAGACCCAGTGCCGTGGCTGCTGCCCTGGGCGGTTTGCCTGGGCTTGCAGCGAGCTTTCGTGCCGCCTCAGTCTGTGCTGACTCACTGCACCTGCAGTCCTTTAGAAGACAGGGCACCGCGAAGAAAGGGAAGGATGTGGAAGGGGATTTTAAGGATCCTACTTCAGCCTTACAGTGACTAAACCAGCAGCAGCAACAATTGCAACACGAGCAACTTCCCGAAACAAACTCTCCAAATTCAGCAACACTTCCAAGAGAAAAGAGGGGTTCACGGGACTGTTGAGTAGGAAATTGGGATGGCCGTCTGTAGGCCTGACTTGCACGGGCCAGCGTGATGGACAGGGAATGGGACAGGCTGACCTGACAGCTAGGAAAACAACAGACTATGTTCAGAAATTAAGAGCGTTTTGGAGGGGGTGACTTACCGCCCCTGGGCAAGAGGGCTGGAACCTTGACTCATCTGAGATGCTGGGGCAGTGGCAGCCCTGGGTGGCTAAGAAATGACGGAGCTGCAGACAGGCCCCAGGGTTCACAGTGCATGTGCCTTGGTTGGCTGACTGAGGACTGCAAAATACACCCGGACACATCTTTGGGCACCTGTCGGAGAGAATGGGGTTGTTCTAGCTCCTTCCAGAGCTACCATGTGTGGGACTTGAAAGCCAACGTAAGTCCTTTGACTTGGAAAGTGAGAGGCCGAATAAAGGACAAGGGTCAGGATATATTCCAAAATGGAACGTCGGCCTATCACGTGCAGTAGCCACGCAGGAAACCCACTCGTATCCCTAGCAACCAGCTCAGGAAGCCAGCCTGCTCTAAGCCAGACGTGGAGGAAACCAGTGGACTTCTCTAGCAATGGGCCCAGGAGACCAAACAATAACCCCAGTCACAGCTGGCCCCAAACCAGCGCTTGGTCAGTAACCGAGAGCTACTCTAGCTTTTTTTTCTTTTTAAGTGTCTCGGCCAATTTGTGAAGTTCACGAGGGAATATAATCTTGGTAGTGACCTGACATGGTATTGGGTATGACTATTGCTTTTAAGAAAGAAATTCCATATGGAAAATTTAAACACTTTTTTACAATAAGGTTAAGAACTTTTGAAGTGGAAAAAATCGCATTAAATTAAAGAGTAAAGTTAGAAGATGATAATAAGCAGGATTAATGTTATTTCTCAGTTTTATTGTCACACCTTAAATGGCTACACCAACAAAAGAGAGAAATGGTGTAGGAGGTGAGAATGTGGAGTGGAGAGATGCTGAGAAATGCTTTATTTACTGACATATATGATGTACAAGCTATATATGTGTGTCATCTATATCTTTATTTGATTTTCTTTTCTTTTCTTTTTTTTTTTTTGACAGGCAGAGTGGACAGTGAGAGAGACAGAGAGAAAGGTCTTCCTTTTTGCCGTTGGTTCACCCTCCAATGGCCGCCACGGCTGGCGCGCTGCGGCCGGCGCACTGCGCTGATCCGATGGCAGGAGCCAGGTACTTATCCTGGTCTCCCATGGGGTGCAGGGCCCAAGCACTTGGGCCGTCCTCCACTGCACTCCCTGGCCACAGCAGAGAGCTTGCCTGGAAGAGGGGCAACCGGGACAGAATCCGGCGCCCCGACCGGGACTAGAACCTGGTGTGCTGGCGCTGCAAGGCGGAGGATTAGCCTAGTGAGCTGCAGTGCTGGCCTGATTTTCTTTTTTAAGATTTATTTATTTACCTGAAAGTCAGAGTTACACAGAGAGAAGGAGAGAGGCAGAGAGAGAGAGAGAGAGAGAGAGGTCTTCCATCTGCTGGTTCAATCCCTAGTTGGCCACAACGGCCAGAACTGCACCGATCCCAAGCCAGGAGCCAGGAGCTTCTTCCAGGTCTCCCATTCGGGCGCAGGGGCCCAAAGTCTTGAACCATCTTCTACTTTTCCAGGCCATAGCAGAGAGCTGGATGGGAAGAGGAGCAGCCGAGACTCAAACTGGTACCCATATCGGATGCCAGCACTGCGGACGGTGGCTTAACCTGCTAAGCCACTGCGCCAGCCCCATCTATATATGATTTTCCAGGTGAGTCAATGGGACGATTGATTCAACTCACAGCAACTTACCACCCTGCAATCTTTTCTAGGACAAATGTATGGTGACACAGTAGAGAGTAAAAGAGAATATTAGCCAGCATTCAATAATTGACAAGATTAGAAATTGCGAAGTTTGGGATATTTTCTCAACCATGTGCCGGTCTGCAATGTCCACATGAAGCAGATGAAGCTAACAGGAACAGCGAAAAGGAAAGTAGAATCTGAGTCAGGACAAACTCAGAGCAATCTCCCTGGGCAGCTTAGACCGTCCTTCTGAGCCCAGCATCCTGAGCCGTAAATGAAGCCTGATGAATCCTTGCCTATTTCAAGAGACCAAAGAATAAAATGTATGAACATTATTTCTAAGCCGGGAAGACCGGGACAAGCGTATTTCTCTCTTCAGCTGACATAATATTTGTACTTCTTTGTGGGACACTGTATTGTAACGTGGCATATCTACAATGGGTAATGATTCAATCAAGATAAATAGCATTTCCATTCCCTCAAATATTAGCATTTTTATATGTTTGGGATCTTCCAACTCTTTCCCTGTAGTTATTTTGGAATGGCTAATTAATTGTTGTAGACTGTGGTTACCCTACCATTGTGGAACATTCAAAATATTTCCCTTTCTAACTGTGTTTTGGTGCTAACCCTCTCACCTGCCCTTCCAAGTCTCCAGTGACCTCTAGTCTAGGGTCTACCTCTGTGTGATCAACTTACTTAGTCTCCACCAATGAATGAGAACATGTAGCACTTTTATTTCTGCACCTGGCTTATTTTATTTAACACAATAACCTCTAATTCCATCCATGCTACCATAAATGATAGAATTTTTTTTTTTTTTGATAGGCAGAGTGGACAGTGAGAGAGAGAGACAGAGAGAAAGGTCTTCCTTTGCCGTTGGTTCACCCTCCAATGGCCGCCGCGGCTGGCGCGCTGCGGCTGGCGCACCGCGCTGATCGGATGGCAGGAGCCAGGAGCCAGGTGCTTATCCTGGTCTCCCATGGGGTGCAGGGCCCAAGCACCTGGGCCATCCTCCACTGCACTCCCTGGCCACAGCAGAGAGCTGGCCTGGAAGAGGGGCAACCGGGACAGAATCCGGTGCCCCGACCGGGACTAGAACCCGGTGTGCCGGCGCCGCAAGTTGGAGGATTAGCCTAGTGAGCCGCGGCGCCGGCCAGAATTTTTCTTTTTTAATGGCTGAATAATATTTCATTGAGCGTATACATCACTCTAAAAAACTACATTCATCTATCAGTGCACACGTTGGTTGATTCCATGTCTTGGCTTTTGTGCATTGTGCATTGTGCTGCACACTTTGACATAATAATTATAGTCATATAATTATTATGAAACACCCAGAAGTGGGATTTCTGGGTTGTATGATAGTTCTATTTTCAGTTTTTTTAGGAACCTCTATACTCTTTTCCATAATCACTGTACTAATTTATATTCTCACCAACAGTGTATAAGACTTCCCTTTTGGGGCCGATGCTGTGGCACAGTGGGTTAAGGCCCCAACCTAAAGCGCCGGCATCCTATATGGGAGTCGGTTCGAGTCCCGGCTGCTCCACTTCTGATCCAGCTTTCTCATATGGCCTGGGAAAGCAGTGGAATATGGCCCAAGTCCTTGGGCCCCGGCACCCACGTAGGAGACCTGGAAGAAGCTCCTGGCTCCTGGTTTCAGATCGGCACAGCTCTGACCATTGCAGCCATCTGGGGAGTGAACCAGTGGGTGAAGGACCTCTTTCTCTCTCTGTCTCTACTTCTCCCTATAACTCTCTTACAAATAAATAAAATAAATCTTAGAAAAAAAAAGACTTCCCTTTTCTCTGCATGCTCACCAGCCTCTGTTATTTTTTGCATCTTTTGGGTAATAGCTATTTTAATTGGCATGAGATGATACCTAGTGATTTTTATTTGCATTTTCCTGATGACTGGTGATGTTGAACATTTTTTCATATATTTGTTGGCCATTTGTATGTCTTCTTATGAGAAATGACTTTTTAGATCATTTGCTAATTTTTAGGTTGGATTATCTGTTTTCCTTTTAGTTTCTACATTTTTTGTCTTTGTTTTCAATTTACAACTGCTATGGTTTGGATGTGGTTGGTAACCCAAAGGCCCATATATTATAGGCCTGGTCCTCAGTGTAGGGATGGTGGGACCATTGAGAGGGAGGTTCTTAGATTGTTGCAAGTGTGTCTTTGCGAGGGATTAAGGTAATTCTTGTGGGTCACTGAGTTCTTGAGAAAGTGAGTTGTTGTGAGGGTGAGTCCAACCTCTGAATCACTCTCTGGCTTCCTGTCTCATCATGCTCCCTCTCACATACACACATGCATTGTGAGACCATTTGCCAGGAGGTTCTAATGAGAACCAAGCCAATGTGGACATGATGCCCTCAAACTTCAGAAGTGTAAGATAAATAAACATGTCTTCTTTATAAATATCCCTAGCCTCAAGTATTTCATTCTAGTACCAATAACAAAAAAATGGGATAATATGTCAACCAATCAGAGAAAGGCAAACATTCTCCCCTAACCAATCAACTAGGTTGTCCCATTTCTACCTGCTGCTTTCCAATCAGGGCACACCTGACATCATTATCTCTTGTTTCCACTCTATAGCTTTTCTACACTTTTTTTTTTTTTTTTTTTGGACAGGCAGAGTTAGACAGTGAGAGAGAGACAGAGAGAAAGGTCTTCCTTTTGCCGTTGGTTCACCCCCTAATGGCTGCCGCGGCCGGCGCGCTGATCCGAAGGCAGGAGCCAGGTGCTTCTCCTGGTCTCCCATGTGGGTGCAGGGCCCAAGCACTTGGGCCATCTTCCACTGCCTTCCTGGGCCACAGCAGAGAGCTGGCCTGAAAGAGGGGCAACCGGGACAGAATCCGGCGCCCCGACCGGGACTAGAACCCGGTGTGCCGGCGCCGCAAGGCGGAGGATTAGCCTAGTGAGCCGCGCTGCCGGCTCTACTCTTCTACCTGCCTTTTTTCTCTGCTAAAATGCAAATGACAGTGCCGACTCCCGTGCGTTAGCAAACTCTGAACAAAGTCTCTTCTTGTCCTTTGGATAGTCTTCGTTTTATGTCTGCACAAGCTGGATCAGGACCTGTGAAGAGATCTGGAACCAAGTGGGCCAGGCCAGCTCAGAGAGAGCCTGACCTGACCGACTCTCAGAGGAAGTGGGAGCAAGAGGGGAGGGAGGAGTCAGTGGGGGCTGGAGAGGAAGTGGACCAAGGCTGGGGGAAGATTTTTAGGGGCTCCGGGGAGAGATGAAGGATTTCCACAAGGGCCTCTGTCCTGACCACTGCAAGGCAGTTGTAGAGTGGGGCCCTGAAAGCAAGCTGTGGAGCCAAGGGGCGCCAGGGCCTGGCAAACAGGCCTGCGTGGCTGCCCTCAGAGGTCCCAGGCATGTGCACAGGGTTTGGGACCAGAAAGAGGAGATCCACATCCATGAGCAGAAGGGAACTCCAGCCAGGTAGAGATGGCATGAGGGGGCTGGTGACAGACTTTTTTTTTTTAAAGTAAAAAAATGATTTTGAGAATGGGCACTTAGCCTGGAGGCTAAGATACCTTTTTCCCACATCAGAGTGCCCGGGTTCAATGCCAGGCTCTGGATGCTGACTCCAGCTTCCTGCCAATGCAGTGGAGATGGTAATTGTGCTCCCGGCCATAGCAGGCATTTGGGGAGTGAACCAGCAAGTGGGCACCCCCCCCACACACACTGTGTGTGTGTGTTTGTATGTGTGCATTTGTCTCTCTGTTTCTGAAATAAAATATAATAAAAATTTTGACCTAATTTCAGACCTAAGGAAAAGTTGCAAGAATAGTAAACAGAATTTCTACCTTATTCATCCAGATTCCTTCTTTGCTAGCATTTTATTATATTCATTTTTTTCCTTCTTCTCTCTCTCTCCTGTGTGTGTGTGTGTGTGTGTGTGTATTTGTATTGTTTCCTTTGAATCATTTAAAGGTATAAATAGGTACTCCACTTTTCTCTTAAATACTTCAGGGTATATTTCCTGATGATAAAGAATTCTCATGGGCCTTCAAAAAGATAACTGAAAATCTGTATTATGAGAAAATGATGCATGGATTTAAAAAAAAAAAACCTTTTGATCCCAAAATGAATGTTATCTTTTAATGCTATTTTCCAGGAACGTTTTGGAGTCCTCTTGAGTTGTCTAACATACAGGACATTTGTGGATTTTTCCATAGAGATTCGTCCCATGCTTTCTATCTGGCATTTGCTCATGGGCAGATGCAAGTTTGTGCCTTGGGTGGACACCACGATCTTCTCAGTGTACGAGGCAATGAATTGACTTTCAAGTCGTGTAGCATCTGTGTGTGATGTCACAACCTGCACATGTGGCCCTGAGATTACACTATAGCCAGGGGCGGCTAGCACTCCCGTTAGGAGAGGGCAGGCAAAGGGATCAGCTGGACTTCTAGTAAGAAATGCATGGCCCAGAGGAGGCTTCTGCCACCTGTCTCTCTACTGATCACTAGCTGAACTTTCAGTGGGTTTCATTAGTGCAAATAGTTGCCTGCTAACGCTCGTGAAATAAGTTAGAAATGGGCTCTCACGGCTGAGCATAAACACTCAAGACGAGTAGGTTGGCTAGACTTATGGAGCACCCCTCGTTCTTGCATAAACAAGACATCAGAATCCTCAGGGCTGCTGCCCTGTTCATTTGGCATCTGGCCCTGGCCCCTGGTAGATTCCGGTTGCCTAATACTGGCATGACTTTCGCTTAAATGAATAGTTTGTGCCTGAGGCTATCTACAAAGATGGAGCACTGGAAACTTCTGCAGCTTAGAGAACAGCATGTATGAGCAGTTTTTTTGTCCTTGCTTGCTAATGAAAGTTTACTCCAGAACAACATGTCTGTATGTGTCTCGGGCAAGAGTTGGCCTCAGACTTGGTAAGCGGGTAGCAAGTTAGCAGTGGGGAGAAGGATCAGCCTTCACCGTCTTCAGCCTTCTTCTTCATCTTTTTCTTTTTTTTTTTTTTTTTCTTTTTGACAGGCAGAGTGGACAGTGAGAGAGAGAGAGACAGAGAGAAAGGTCTTCCTTTTTGCTGTTGGTTCACCCTCCAATGGCCGCCGTAGCTGGTGTGCTGCGGCCGGCGCACCGCGCTGATCCAATGGCAGGAGCCGGGTGCTTA